TATATATAGTGGAGTTTGTGGAACATAAAACAAAGGAAAGGCGTGCGTAGAAGAACTTGTAAAGTTGCGGGGTAGGGGAAGGAGATTGAGGCGGAGGTGCAGTGCCTAATTTTGAAAATATTGACCAAATTTGAAGTAATCCATTTTTTGTTCTTTCCACAAAGCATGTAATAATTAATTAATAACTCGTACTGCATAGAAGAAGACACATTATTATTTGTGGTAAAACCTGTACTATTTTACAAAATTCATTTTTTTTTCTATGGTCATCGGAGTTGGTACTGAAAACCTGATATCTGGTACTCGAACACCATACTATCGGTACTATCTTACTCTATGTCTGGTACTAATTTTGTAAATGTTGACCAAAATTGAAGTAATCCATTTTTTGTTCTTTCTAGTAGAAAGAACAAAAAATGCTTCAAAAAATTAATTACTTCAAATTGTACCTATATGTTTTATGTTCCACTATTATTCAACCAAATCACGCGTGAACGGTTTGTTTAGTATATTAATTAATAATTCTACCTATATTAATTAATATTTTTTAACCAACTCCGACGAACATAAAAGGAAAAAACGAATCTCGTAAAATGGTACTAGTTTTTCAACAAATAGTACCACTCTTTCTTCTATGTAGCATCGGTTATTGATGAATTGGTACTTACTTTGTAGAAAGAACAAAAAATGGATTACTTCCAATTTGGTCAATATTTCCAATATTAGTACCAGACATACAGTAAAATAATACCGCAATTATGGTGATATAGTATCAGATATCGGGTATTTAATACCAACTCCGACGAACGTAAAAAAAATTGTAAAATAGTGTATGTTTTGACCCAAATAATACCACTTTTTTTTTCTGCGAAGTACCAGTTCTTGATCAATTAGTACCAACTTTTGGTCAACGAAAATAAATTATTCAACTGTGGTCCACAGTGCATTAATTGGTACCAGACCTAGAGTAAGATAGTACCATCTTTCGCTGTTTTAGTACCATATATTGGGTCTTTAGTACCACTTGTAATGAACACATAAAAACACCGAATTTCGGTCTCAAATGATGTTTATATGACCAATAATCACTCTCACATTATTTTATATGAGATTTAAAATGTTTAAAATTGGGTTTAATCGTAAAATGGTCATGAACTTGGCACACTAATGAGAAATCACTACTAATACACTTCATTTGATTGAATGACACATTTCATCTCATAGAACCATCATACATGACTGCTCCAAATTCTACCTCCAAATTTTACCTATATGTTTTAAATTCCACTATATTTCATCCAAATCACATGTGAACGATCCACGTGTTATGGTAGACATGAAGGATTATAGAAATCACGATTCTTAAAATAGTACATGTTTTAGCCAATATAGTATCGAATCTTCTTCTGCGTGTGTAGCACCCCGTTTGATTATTGGATTTTATGGATTTTTCGGAAATTATTTTATTGGCATATTATTTTATTTGAATTATGTAACGCCCCGATCAGAAATAATATTACAAAGGTTTCACTTGCTCGACTATAAAGTGAAATTGATATTTTCAGAAATTTCGAGTCATATTTTATATGCTTAAGTGCTCATTTATATTGTAAGTATGTTAGATTATTCCTTAGTATGCTCAAAATATTTTTCGTTCGTGTTGAACCATAATCGCGAGGTCACCCGTGCTATAGGATCGAGCCGAAGTCCGTGAACCGAGCCCTTGTCTCGAGCCCTAGCCGAGCCCGAGTCCTCTCGTGCCTAATCGTGCCGTGACCTAGGTGGCGCACCCGAGGTCTAAGGCTGAGCCCAAGTATGGCTCAAGTCCTAGTCGTGCCTTAGTATTGTTCTTAGTTTGAACTCAAGCCTTAGAAGTTCATTTTTATCGGTCCTAGTCATTTCCCTCGCGCCCAGCCATGCAGTGCGTTCAGGCCGCACCCAGTCCAGCACATCGTGCAGCTCAGCGCGCGCCAGTCCAGTAGCTGCG